GTCTCAGTGCTGGTGGAAATGATATTGGGAAGGGTAGGAGAGAAGAGCTGCTAGATAAGTACAGGTCAGCTATAGATTTCATTAAGTCTAAGGGAGGGATCCCAATCATATGTAGCATCTTGCCTAGAAGGGGAGTAGGAAATGAATGGTTGTCTAGGGCAATTGGTGTAAATTGCTGGCTAGACAGATACTGCAAGGAACTTGCAATCCCATTCATTGACAACTGGAACAACTTTTATGGCAAACATGATATGTATGCAAGGGATGGGGTACATCTCTCTGGGGCTGGGGTGGTAGCACTTGCGGACTCGATTGAGAAGGCCATTGGTGAAATGCCTATGATTTTAAACTGATGGAAGATAGAGGTATGGGTGTGTGTGGGAAACAAGCAGGTTGCAACACTTGGGTTGGAAACAGTAAATGTATAAAAGACATTCAGCATGAAGTTATAAATAAAGACAATAGATCAGGTCAGCAAACAAAGGGGGACAGCAGAGGGCAGCAAGGGACTAGCTCCCTTAAGGTTTACTATACTAATAGCAGGAGTGTAAGAAATAAGATAGATGAGCTAAGATTAATTGCAAGTGCAGGAAACATAGATATTATTGCTATAACAGAGACCTGGCTCAATCTGAAAGATAGAGAGATGCCCTCTTGAATGTCACATACAAGGCTATAAATTATTCCACACTGACAGGGTCAACAGGAAAGGTGGTGGAGTAGCGATGTATGTCAGAGACAATTTTAAATTGTTGTGTTAGACAAGATATTAAATTAGAAGCGTCAGCCACTGAATCTGTTTGGTTACAGCTTCTCGAGGGCCGGGGAAAAAACTAATTTTGGGTGTGATTTACAGGGCCCCAAATCTTGATAGGGAGTGCAGTAAACTTCTATGGGACGAAATTCGTAAGGCATCTACATACGAAAATGTTGTGCTAATGGGAGATTTCAACTATAGACAGATTGACTGGAGCAATTTGACAGGAAATTTAGAGTCAGGTGACTTTCTTGATACGATCCAGGATTGTTTTTTAAAACAGTTTGTGACAGAGCCAACTAGGGGAAATAACCTCCTTGACTTGGTTCTTGCCAGTAGGGAAACACTAATTAATAATCTTGAGGTTAATGATGAGCTTGGGGAAAGTGATCACAAATCACTCAGTTTTAATATATCATGGAATTCCCCTAATAATGGCAATCAAGTCTCCGTCCCTGACTTTCGCTTGGCTGATTTCATAGGACTGAAAAATTACTTAGGTGGGCTGAACTGGAATGACCTGACTAAGGGTCAGGTAGGTGGTGATGGTTGCCGATATGATGCTTTCCAGGGCATAGTTCTAGCTGCTCAGTCAAATTATGTTCCAAATAGGGAATCAGATAAAACAAAAATGATCCCAAATGGATGAACAATAGATTAAAATATCTGATTGGTCAAAGAGAGGCATATATAGGCAAATCAAAAGAGGAGAGGGGCAATTGAGAAATCGATATATTCAGTTAAAGAGAGAAATAAAAAAGGGAATTAGAAAAGCAAAAGAGATTATGAGGTTAAAGTTGCAAGAGAATCGAAGACTAACCCAAAAGGATTCTTTCAGGTATACAGAAGTAAGATCAGGGACAAGATAGGCCCACTCAAAAGTTCCTCGGGTCAGCTCACTGACAGTGATAAGGAAATGTGTAGAATTTTTAACACATACTTCCTCTCAGTTTTTACACAGGAGGATACCAGCGATATTCCAGTAATGATAAATTATGTAGAACAGGACGATAATAAACTGTGCACTATTAGGGTCACAAGTGACATGGTCCTTAGGCAAATAGATAAATTAAAACCTAACAAATCCCCAGGCCCTGATGAACTGTATGCAAGGGTTCTAAAGGAATGTAAAGAGGAGCTTAGCACACCTTTGGCTAATCTTTTCAACATATCACTACAAACTGGCATGGTGCCAGATAAGTGGAAAATGGCAAATGTGATACCTATTTTCAAAACAGGTGACAGGTCCTTAGCTTCGAACTATAGACCAATAAGCCTAACCTCCATAGTGGGAAAATTTATGGAATCAATAATTGCCGAGGCAGTTCGTAGCCACCTTGAAAAGCATAAATTAATCAACGAATCTCAGCATGGTTTTACAAAGGGGCGTTCCTGCCTTACGAATTTATTAACTTTTTTCACTAAGGTATTTGAGGAGGTAGATCATGGTAATGAATATGATATTGTGTATATGGACTTCAGTAAGGCTTTTGACAGGGTCCCACATCAGAGACTATTGAGGAAAATTAAAGCACATGGAATAGGAGGAGAAATTTTTTCCTGGATAGAGGCATGGTTGACAAATAGGCAGCAGAGAGTTTGCATAAATGGGGAGAAATCAGAGTGGGGAAGTGTCACGAGCGGTGTTCCACAGGGGTCAGTGTTGGGCCCCCTGCTGTTCACAATCTACATAAACGACATAGATGAGGGCATAAAGAGCGACATCGGCAAGTTTGCCGATGACACCAAAATAGGCCGTCGAATTCATTCTGACGAGGACATTCGAGCACTCCAGGAAGATTTGAATAGACTGATGCAGTGGTCGGAGAAGTGGCAGATGCAGTTTAATATAGACAAATGCAAAGTTCTAAATGTTGGACAGGACAATAACCATGCCACATATAAATTAAATAATGTAGATCTTAATATTACGGATTGCGAAAAAAGATTTAGGAGTTCTGGTTAGCAGTAATCTGAAACCAAGACAACAGTGCATAAGTGTTCGCAATAAAGCTAATAGAATCCTTGGCTTCATATCAAGAAGCATAAATAATAGGAGTCCTCAGGTTGTTCTTCAACTCTATACATCCTTGGTTAGGCCTCATTTAGATTATGCTGCACAGTTTTGGTCACCTTATTACAGAATGGATATAAATTCTCTGGAAAATGTACAAAGGAGGATGACAAAGTTGATCCCATGTATCAGAAACCTTCCTATGAGGATAGACTAAGGGCCCTGAATCTGCACTCTCTAGAAAGACGTAGAATTAGGGGGGATATGATTGAGGTGTATAAATGGAAGACAGGAATAAATAAAGGGGATGTAAATAGTGTGCTGAAAATATCTAGCCTAGACAGGACTCGCAGCAATGGTTTTAAATTGGAAAAATTCAGATTCAGGAAGGATATAGGAAAGTACTGGTTTGGTAATAGAGTTGTGGATGAGTGGAAAAAAACTCCCAAGTACCGTTATAGAGGCCAGAACGTTGTGTAGCTTTAAAAATAGGTTGGATAAATACATGAGTGGATGTGGGTGGGTGTGAGTTAGACCTGATAGCTTGTGCTACCAGGTCGGTTGCCGTGTTCCTCCCTTAAGTCAATGTGACCTGACCTGACTAGGTTGGGTGCATTGGCTTAAGCCGGTAGGAGACTTGGACCTGCCTCGCATGGGCCAGTAGGCCTTCTGCAGTGTTCCTTCGTTCTTATGTTCTTATGTTCTTATGTTCTTATGAGCGATGGTGTTGGTGGTAGTGATGGAAATTTGTGGTAACAAGCATTGCTTCTAGGAATTTCATGAAATGTTTATTGGTGTTGTGGTGTATGGTGGTACAGACATTTAAGCAATTTCTTTGAAAGAGTATTTTTAATCGTGTTTTTTTTTTTTAAGTTCTAAAACGTTTCTCACATTACGAAATATTTATTTCATCCCGGATATAGTATGACGTAGATACCGGAGTTGGATTCCTGAGTTGTGTTCCTCTTCGTTTTATCGATTTTCATTGTGTTGGAAGCAATGCTAGCAATGTACGTGTTACTTTTAGCAATTTAACCTAACTTAACCTAACTGGACCTAACCTAACATAACCTAGCTAAACAAATTCTAAGAAATATTTTCCATATTTGTGCATTTGTTAATAGATTTTTTTGCTTGAATGGGAGTGTCCTTGGGAGAGGGGGAAGGTCCTGGGAAAGTTTTGTTTAAATAGGTAAGTTTATTCAGGTATACACAAATACAGTTACATAGATTATCATACACGGCAGCATGCGTGTAGAGAACCTGGGATAACCAATGAAAGTCACGCTAAATGAATTGGGAGATACTTATATGCGTATATACACCGAGAGACTCACCTGTGGCTAAGTAAAATATGTCGTCTATGCAGTAGACTTCATCAGTGGAATACAGATGCAACTATTATGGTGACAATAGAAACAGTGGAGAGATAAAGACGAGATCAATCCATCAACCTTGAAGAGGTGGTCAGTCCCTTTCCACTGCAGCTTCTCTCTCCATAACCAGCCACCTCTGTGTTCGACTGAAGAAGCCTACTGTGTAGGCGAAAAGTTTCGGAATAAAGATACTTAACTATTGTACAAATTTCTTACTTATCTCCTTGTCGGTAATGAATACCATAATTATCTTGATACACACCTGTTTATGTAACATAATCACAGGTAAGTAATATCTTTATATGCAATTTAATCACTTTGAAAGGGAACTATAATCTATATGGTGTTGTGATTTCAAAATAAAATTTCTTGAATGATTGAGAAATGAATGTTGTAAGTGTTGTTATATACGTGTTGTTATATACAGTGAGAGATGGATATGTTTGTAGACATATGCAACGAATGTATTGTTTATGTGTGGTTCAGAAAGACACGTAAGCAAACACTATAACATATTTATTAGAAAACGTTTCGGTCCTGGGACCTTGAGAAGTGATCAAGGTCCCAGGACCGAAACGTTTTCTAATAAATATGTTATAGTGTTTGCTTACGTGTCTTTCTAAACCAACTTGTCGGTATTTATTACCAAGGTTTATACCATTGTTTATGTGTACCATATTTATAACTATATACATTGAGGGATATATACAGAGTTCAATAAATACAATTCTGATATTTTATTTTGTTCATGAGAAACTGTAAACCCGTTAGGGTCATATAGCGCTCTACTCTCATGCTGACCAGCGCGTAATCCTACATATATAAACACATAGAAAAGTATAATTGGACTCACCCTTCTTCGCACTGGAGGGGTAAGACAGACGGCTCTATGGGGAGGACACCGTCTCCATCTGGGTCGCTACAGACATAATACTGAAGACAATTGGTTGGGTTTTTAACCAGGTCTCCCTCTTTCCTGCCTGTGCAGTCAGGTACACACAGCTGTGATGACGCCCGGACTGCCTGGGAAAACAGGGAACGAGACACATGTATACTTGGAAGGTGGAGGTAGACACAAAAACACTTCACCCACACTCACATATAGTGCTACAGGCAGTAGTGTTGACACAAGTGATGCTTGAGGGGCAACGAGCAGCAAGTCAGTGCTATAGGCAGCTGTGTTGACACAAGTGATGCTTGAGGGGCAACGAGCAGCAAGTCAGTGCTATAGGCAGCTGTGTTGACACAAGTGATGCTTGAGTGAGCGGCAGCGAGCAGCGAGTCAGTGCTGGAGGCAGCAGTGTTTTGTCACAGTTTATGTAGAAAAGTTATTAACAACAGGTCAAGGTTGTGACCAGTGAAGATGCACGATGGCTGTAGTGTAGTGATCAAGTTGTTAATGAGCGATTTGGAAAAAAAGATAAAACAATTAGTATAATAAACTCCATGTTATGACCATAATAATAAAGAAAAAGTGTGAATAATAATAATAATAATAATAATAATAATAATAATAATAATAATAATAATAATAATAATAATAATAATATCTTTGTTTTTACAAGTACATGTACAAGGTATACAGACCATAGTTAACATCAATGACATACTACTATATAGAAAGCCCTTTGTTATGGACAACATTTCGGGCAAATTAGGTCAAGTTTGTCCCTGGATGCGACCCACACTTGTCGACTAACACCCAGGTACCCATTTTGTCCTAATGGGTGAACATAGACAACCGGTGTAAGGAAACACGCCCAATGTTTCAACCTTCGCCGGGAATCGAACCCGGACGTCACCACGATATGGGCCAGGATATGGGCCACCGGGCCTAATGATGGGATTGGATCAGTGACAAAACTGGAATGTGTGATAAAAGAAAAGAAAATAAGTGACATAGACATCGTATGACATTGTCAGAAGTCACCACGAGAGTTACAACTTGCCTTTTGACTACGAGACATCAGATACTACTGCGTATGTGGGAGAAATTTGGTCGTTGTGATTGGTTTTAGTGTGTCGTCCGGCTGGACATGTAGGATCACTCTCCCTACCAAGGGATAAGTAGCGGTAACCCTGACAGTATATTTAGTAAACTATTAGGATAACTAAATAATTAGAACTAATTTTAAACTGTAAGGGCAGTGACGAGTGTATCTATGGGTGTTTTTAAAAGATCTCAAGTGAACCTGTAAGAAATATAATAGTAATTACTCACATATATATTAATTATGAACAGTGAGAGAAAATATGAAACACTTCAGAAAAGTGGAGCAGCAGCCTAGCATGACAGTGAAGAAAAGTGGAGCAGCAGCCTAGCATGACAGTGAAGAAAAGTGGAGCAGCAGCCTAGCATGACAGTGAAGAAAAGTGGAGCAGCAGCCTAGCATGACAGTGAAGAAAAGTGGAGCAGCAGCCTAGCATGACAGTGAAGAAAAGTGGAGCAGCAGCCTAGCATGACAGTGAAGAAAAGTGGAGCAGCAGCCTAGCATGACAGTGACTAACTTTCAAATACATGGGTAGTGTTGAGTGTACCTTTGGTACATTCTCTCTCTCTCTCTCTCTCTCTCTCTCTCTCTCTCTCTCTCTCTCTCTCTCTCTCTCTCTCTCTCTCTCTCTCTCTCTCTCTCTCTCTCCCCACACACACACACACACACACACGCACGAGGACCAGGCAGAACTATAAAGGGATCTGACTGGCTGCAGGTCTGGTCCAGCAACTGGCTCCTGGAGTTCAACCCCACCAAATGCCAAGTCATGAAGATCGAAGAAGGGCAAAGAAATCCGCAGACGGAGTACAGTCTACCTGGAGTTTACCTGGAGAGAGTTCCGGGAGTCAACGCCCCCGCGGCCCGGTCTGTGACCAGGCCTCCTGGTGGATCAGAGCCTGATCAACCAGGCTGTACTGCTGGCTGCACGCAAACCAACGTACGAGCCACAGCCCGGCTGGTCAGGTACCGACTTTAGGTGCTTGTCCAGTGCCAGCTTGAAGACTGCCAGGGGTCTGTTGGTAATCCCCCTTATGTATGCTGGGAGGCAGTTGAACAGTACCGGGCCCCTGACACTTATTGTATGGTCACTTAACGTGCTAGTGACACCCCTGCTTTTCATTGGGGGATGTTGCATCGTCTGCCAAGTCTTTTGCTTTCGTAGTGAGTGATTTTCGTGTGCAGGTTCGGTACTAGTCCCTCTAGGATTTTCCAGGTGTATATAATCATGTATTTCTCCAGCCTGCGTTCCAGGGAATACAGGTTCAGGAACCTCAAGCGCTCCCAGTAATTGAGGTGTTTTATCTCCGTTATGCGCGCCGTGAAGGGTCTCTGTACATTTTCTAGGTCAGCAATTTCACCTGCCTTGAAAGGTGCTGTTAGTGTGCAGCAATATTCCAGCCTAGATAGAACAAGTGACCTGAAGAGTGTCATCATGGGCTTGGCATCCCTAGTTTTGAAGGTTATCATTATCCCTCCTGTCATTTTTTTAGCAGATGCGATTGATACAATGTTATGGTCCTTGAAGGTGAGATCCTCCGACATGATCACTCCCAGGTCTTTGACGTTGGTGTTTCGCTCTATTTTGTGGCCAGAATTTGTTCTGTACTCTGATGAGGATTTAATTTCCTCGTGTTTACCATATCTGAGTAATTGAAATTTCTCATCGTTGAACTTCATATTGTTTTCTGCAGCCCACTGAAAGATTTGGTTGATGTCCGCCTGGAGCCTTGCAGTGTCTGCAATGGAAGACACTGTCATGCAGATTCGGGTGTCATCTGCAAAGGAAGCCACGGTGCTGTGGCTGACATCCTTGTCTATGTCAGATATGAAGATGAGGAACAAGATGGGAGCGAGTACTGTGCCTTGTGGAACAGAGCTTTTCACCGTAGCTGCCTCGGACTTTACTCTGTTGACTACTACTCTCTGTGTTCTGTTAGTGAGGAAATTATAGATCCATCTACCAACTTTTCCTGTTATTCCTTTAGCACGTATTTTGTGCGCTATTACACCATGGTCACACTTGTCGAAGGCTTTTGCAAAGTCTGTATATATTACATCTGCATTCTTTTTGTCTTCTAGTGCATCTAGGACCTTGTCGTAGTGATCCAATAGATGAGACAGACAGGAGCGACCTGTTCTAAACCCATGTTGCCCTGGGTTGTGTAACTGATGGGTTTCTAGATGGGTGGTGATCTTGCTTCTTAGGACCCTTTCAAAGATTTTTATGATATGGGATGTTAGTGCTATCGGTCTGTAGTTCTTTGCTATTGCTTTACTGCCCCCCTTGTTGAGTGGGGCTATGTCTGTTGTTTTTAGGGGCCAAGGACTACAAACCTTACTCAAGGAGAAGGACCTTGGGGTGAGTATAACACCAGACACATCTCCTGAGATGCACATCAACCAAATAACTGCTGCAGCTTACGGGCGCCTAGCAAACCTAAGAACAGAATTCTGACATCTTAGGGAATCGTTCAGGGCCCTGTAGACTGTGTACGTTAGGCCCTTATTGGAGTATACAGCACCAGTTTGGAACCCACACCTAGCCAAGCATGTATAGAAAGTGTAAAGGTTTGCAACTAGAATGATCCCGGAGCTAAGGGGTATACCCTACGAGGAGAGGTTAAGGGAAATCGATCTGAGGACATTGGAGAATATGAGAGGTAGGGGGGATAGGATAGCGACATACAAAATACTGAGAGGAATCGACACGGTGGACAGAGACAGGATGTGGACACAGCAACAAGGGGTCATTGTTGGAAGCTGAAGACCCAGGTGAATCACAGGGATCTTAGGAAATATTTCTCCAGTGACAGAGTTGTCAGAAAGTGCAATAGTCTAGGAAGTGATGTAGTGGAGGCAGGACCAATACATAGCTTTAAGGAGAGGTATAATAAAGCTCCTGGAGCAGGAAGAGTGACCTAGTAGCGTCCAGCGAAGAGGAAGGGCCAGGAGCTGTGACTCGACCCTTGTAACCACAATTAGGTGAGAACTAGGTGAGTACACACACACACACACACACACACACACACACACCCTGTGATGTAGGTCAACTGTGCTTGTGAGGTCAAAGGTAGACCTAACCAACTAGTGTAAATTGTCACCTTGGAAGGGAAGTGTTAGAAATGTAGCAAGACACCTGGCGCCGTCTCGGCCTCAGGTCTTTTGTTCTTGATGGTGACAGTCAGGAGTAGTTAGTGACTCTGGTGTGAAAACATGTGGTGTGCACCTCATGGGGGTGAACCCCAAAACCTAGAGTTTAGGATGGGTACTTTAAGGACCACATAAGCTCTAGGAAACAGCTAGAGAGGAAATTCAGGCAGAGCCCTTGCCTGCGTTAAGAGCTCTGGGCGAGGGGCTAGAGGCTCTGGGGGAGACTTTAGGTCTGCTCTAGCTGGGAGTAGAGAGCTCTGGAGAGAGCTGGGAGCTCTGGGAAGATATCTGTCTTCAGTGTGGGTCTTGAGACCCGTGGCTAGTGAGTTCCTCAGATGAACCGCCCTACTGCACATGTATTGTAAGATATATTCACTTTTGTCTCACTGTTTATGTACAATCCCCATTTATCTAAATCCAATCCTGTATTCCTGTTCCAGATTATATTACTGTACAAAAAATTAGAAATAAAACTGAGTGGAATAGTAACATTCACTGTCCCAGTTATTTCTTGTTCTTATTTTATTATTTTATTTAAAGTACTGAGAGGATGAGTAGTGTAGAGTTAATGAGAGGTGATGGTGTAGTTACCAGTGACCTCGCATTTCCTCCTCTCATACCAGTCGACTCACCTCTCATGCGTACTCTCTACCTTTTCTTGTCTTACTCCCTTATTCTTTATTATTACTTGAATTGTCCTCCTCTTATGTGACAGCACACACACACACACACACACACACACACACGTGTAGGGCTAAGAGCTGTGACTCGACCCCTGCAATCATGACTAGTGAGTACACACACACACGCACACCAAGCCAGTGAGGGGAATATCGATAGATCAGTTATTGAATAATAACACAATCACAAGGAGAGGGGAATATCGATAAATCAGTTAGTGAATAATAAAACAATCATAAAGTGAGAGGAAAGAAAAGGAAAAAATCGAA